TTTACCAAATGCGCCAATTAAATGTTCCGGTGCAGCCCAAAAGATATGCTATTTGGCGGATGAGATATTCCGGAAGGTAAGCAAGATGTTGCTTATCACAGGAGATTTTAAAAGCATCTCAAATGAATTATTCCATTATTTTTTATAATCGTTGTCATTTTTTACTAGAAATTATTTTTGTTTCTTCATAATATTTTCAAAATATAAAACATTTATTATGAGATGCAATTTTCATTGAAAAATTGTGTCATCTTAATTTTTGCTACGTTTAAAAAAAAACTCTCTTTAAAAAATTTCTTATGATTTATTTGTGCTATGGCCAAGTTGACATAATCGAATTATATCTGGAATAAAAAGTAAATGATTATATCCGAAATGAACAATCATTTAGTAGTGAATTTTGTGAAGTTTAACGGTGATAGTTATTTCTAAAAAGGCAACAAGCAATTGTTAGGCGCTTTAATAATGCTGTTCACAATTAAATTAATTTTAGCATATACCAAATTTTCTGATGATTGCAGTTTTTTTCGTTTTTTCAGAGGGGTATTCGTGAACAAATACATCTAACATTCAATACATTTTCATCCGACATATTCGATGTGCCAAAATATGCCAGAGCGTTAAATGAAATTGTAAAAAAGAAATCGATCGAATTGAAGTTGTTGAGAAATTTAAAATCAATTGATATCTTAAAACGAGAAGCTACATTTGAACTGATGGGAGAGGATAATAACCCAACAGGAGAATTAGAAATTCAAAAGGTATAATAATCCTCTTTTAAATTTTCATGAAAATGAAATTTTTTTGTTACAGTTCTTTTTTTCATGCTTGTTTGAGGTTAACTAAATGAGGAACTGATACCGTGTAAACAATATATAAAAAATTTACAGACTAAACATAAGTTTGGAAACAAAGAGTTATAAGCATTATTTGCAGAATTTCATAGAACATATTTCTTACTCATATTGTCAACTGTCAACTTTCATATGCTATTTTAGAGTCTCGCGATATTAAAATCCGCGATATAGGGTACAACATATTTACTATCGGTTTAAGAGTCTTCAGTCTCTATTGAGACACTTCTCATTTCTCCATCTCTTCCTTTTTTATTTTTTTTTATCCTGGCTAATTTTTTAATTTTCACCGCGGAGACTTTCTGGTTCATTGACTAACACAATTTTTCCCTCATGGGGAGCTCTTCTTGATACATTTCTTAGAGGAGAATGTTCTTTTAGTTCATGCTCGAAAACTGGTTAAATATTTATTTTTCCATATGCTTTCAGGGTTTGATCTTTGAAGGTATTTGACCAATACTCAATAAATTTTTCTTTGGAGGAAAATTCGTGGGGGAAATTTTTCCCAGATCATTGTTGTTAGCAGTTGGGAGGGGGAGGGAGGAGTAAGGGGTGAGAGAGTGGGTAATGAGCATTAGGTCAGATGAAATCAGTTGGGCGTGTGCTTATGTAATCTTCGAAATTTGCATAAGTCAATGATCGGGTATTTAATATGCCTTTCATTTCTACTATTAGATTATTAATTCTCCCTTCCATAATAACTTCCTACTAATGATCCTTCTCATTGCCCATTTGGCTATTCCAATTATTCTTTCACAAACTCCTCCACTCCCCCCATATTTTATTTATCCATTCCATTATGATTTGGAAAACTAATTAGTACCTTGGAACTAATTTAGGATAAATGCCGGGCAATGGATCTTTTCAATATGTGCAAAAAACTTCGGTAGATAAATTTTCTAACAGTTATAGATGTACTACTCTTGTGAAACATATGAAGAGTGCTATCCATCTTTTAGCTATGCCGGTTCCAGTTTGACAGAAAGGATACCCATATAATTCAATCCGTGTGCGAATGTATGGGAGAGCATGACTTGAGCTTATGGAACTTAGACATAACTGGGAGATTAAATAGTTTTGCTTTCTTTTACAATGCATACATTCGTTCAGTATTCTCTTAATTTCGTTTTTTTTTTTTTTTTTTTTTTTAATTTTATGAACTCAAGAATCCATGCGGTCCTTACTAATCTTGATCACTTACTAAAACGACTCGCATTTATAACCTTAAAACACCCTATTCAATGTTCTTTAAAACTTTCTTTTATTTCCTTTGTGACTTTTGAGATAAGAATTTTATGTTCTTCATTTTCATAGTTTCCATCGAAGTTATATTCCTGTTTTGGCCAGATAGTTCCTAAGTTTTGTTGGAGAGAGTCTTTGGATTACTTTTATTTGAGATGCAACGAAACAAGAACTTTGCTTTTCTTATTTCTTCTGCTCGATTTTGCACAAATTTTGATAGCAGTCGGAACAGTTCTGGATCCAGTATAGTGCACATTTAGAGTTAACCATCTCCAGTTACTACAAACTGGGCTACTCGTACTTCAATAAATATTGCTGATAACTCTGGTTATATCTAATCGGGATATAATGGTACATTTAATTGATGCAATTCAGGATTTAGCGGTTATCAAGGGCTTTTAATTCTTTGAATGCCATGGCTATGCGTGTAGAACTTCAGGATTGCTACACTTGATGCATCTGTGAAGACATGAAGTTGCGTTTGTTCCGAAGTATATGGCAGTTCTTTTACGTCTTTTGACTATGAATTTATCAGAGATTTCTACGTTTCTTTATCTTCCTCATTTACTGGTTGACCTTTGAAGTTTGAATCATAGTCGAGACGAGGAATCTCATTTGGTACCGGGTCGAACTGTAAAATTGTTTTTCTTATTAGATCCCTCCATTCTAAAGCTTTAAGGTGACTCGATGACATGTTCTTTGGGATTCCAATTAACCAGAAATTTTTTAAATCGGCTTATTTCTGCTCGATGTGCTTGGGAATAATTTTGTTGAGTTCATTGTCATTTCGCTTATGTTGCTTGAGGCTTCTTTGAAGATTTCACTTCATAATTTTTGCGTGCTTCTTGGGTTCCTTTAGTTGGTAATATAACACTGTCAACGTAAAGTTTTTTTTTAGATCTCCATTTTTTTCGGATTTTTTCGAATCCGCTTTCATAAGTTTTTAAGTGAGTTAAAAATGGTTAATAGTAGTAAAACAGATAATGATACCACCCCGATATATTATTATATTACACTATCTTTCGTGATTTGTCCTTGGTTATGCAGTTTCGCTCGGATGGAAATAACTGCTGCAAAAATGCATTTTCTTCCACCATTCTTAATCGAAGCAATACGTTTGTTAAATCAGTGATATCTTTCAAAGTTTTGATACTCTTGAGCAGATGTTAACGATTTTTAATTTTATTGTCGATATGTTTCGTTGATACTTCATGATGCGGCAAATATTCTTCGTGTCTTCGTGTTACGGCAAATGATACATAACGCCAATCTGATTCATTTCTGGAGTTACTTTTCCAATGGTATTGGATTGTACTTGTTCTTGATGCACTTTCTTGTGGTAAAACATGTAAAATCCATTATATCGACTAAGTAGTAGTTTGAATTAATGTTTTCAATCTTCCAAAATAAGGAACATAATTATCATTTTGTTTAATAACATTCCCTTTGAAATGCTTTAGCACCTCTTCGTCATCATGAATATCAGATCGTCATCATGAGTTATAGTTTCTAGAATTCATCTATTTTTTAAATCGTAGTGACATTATTTACATTTATCGATTTCGTGTTAACAGATGCGATATCAAATTTGATTTGGTTGTCATAATTAGTTGTATTCGTTATTATAGAACAAACCCTTGTGAAGATTGCATGGAATCGTGGCACCAAATTGTAGATCTGGTTTGGCGATATGAAATCAAAATAGTCAATCCAATAAGTTATTGGGCCTTTCCTAGTATCCTCCTTTCTCTTCTGGCTGTTCTTGAGATTTCACACGTGTCAAATAGTGATGGCTCGACTTAACTACTTAAAGTTTTTCTATTATATAATGTATAATGTAACACGCAAGCATTAATAGGTATAATTTTAGATTCCAGATTTTTACTCCGATTTCTATTTTGTAGTCCGACATGACTTTGGAGATTTGTTACCAAATGAGAAAAGCCTCAAATTTTCTCCCTTAGTTCTGTCTAATCTCAATCGATTTGCCAATTCTCCCAATATAAAGAATGAATGTGATCCAATGTCAAATAATGCCAAAGCCTTTTGTGGTTGCAAAATTCTATGATTTTGGGAGAGACTTGCTGATCCCGGGGAGATTTATTGGATGTAGACAGTTGGATGTAGCACAGAAATATATTCCCTTTATTAACAGGAGCAATATTATAAAAAATTTGCAAGAATTGAAAAACAGGTCGAGAGATCCTTTTTGGTTATTGTCAACTGTTTTACCGTTACATGTATATTGTTAAAGTAGGAATGGTGATTATGAATCAATTCTGTTGGGTTTCAAGATAGTCACAGTCATAATGTAAGCAAAGAAAGAGGGAAGTAATTTGAAGATTAAATATCAAGTAGGAAATAATATGTGAAGGATTTATGGTAGAAACACCAGATTAGAGACAATGAATTTAAGCTCCAAACATTATTGAAAGCAATATAAGGGATCACCAGTGAAAACATAACAATGGGAACAAAAGAGGTGTGTAAACCTTATCGAAAACAATGTATAAAGGCTGAACACGACTAGAACAAAGAGTTCAGCGTATAAGCATTGTTTGCGAAGGGTTGGTTCATCGGACATCTCTTCAGTGATATTTGAAGTTTCGTGATATTGAGATCCGTGACACAGAAAATTCGTTATTGGATTTTTGAGTGGTATGGATTGACTATATCTATTTCTTTGGATGAAAGTAAAATTGATTTACTCATCTTCGATGATGTAGCTGAATCCAAAATTTTTTACTAGAATTTGCTGATTTTGGGGATTTTTGTTATTTCAGCGAACACAATACTGTGTTATGGAGACCTTTAAAATGAAAACAAAAAGGTTTTTCCTTTTCGCATTCGCTCGCTTTATATCCTATTCGAAGGCGTTTGAAACAAACAATAAAGCTTGAATGTAGGATAATCAGAGCATTCATTATTCCAGTGATTCTTGTTACAAAATATGCACACTTTAACTCTGGGACTTTCGTTGATTTAATTGATTTGATTGAATTATTTGATTTGGATGTCTTGATGGCAGCTAAGGCTGAAGTTTTAGCTTTAGCATTAATTTTACTTGATTACTTCTCCCTGGTTATTATAACTTCTTCGTTTCTGAGTATTAATTCTTTCAAGAATTGCCGGATTTTATGAATCGACCATCCTGTTGATTCCGACTTTAATTGATGGACTTTGTCCAATATCCAAACCTTGTTTTCAATTTCAATTCCAATACTGGTATGTTCCAAGGTTTCATCAGTGGATTCCATCTCTCGATGGCTTCAATGCAGTTCACTATAAAGTGACTTCTTCATAATGAAGAATTTACCATAGTTCTCTGTTGGTAAGTCTCTTATGATGTAATTTTCTGGTGCAATGTCATAATCGCTCATTGATAGCAATGCACCATTTTTGAAACATGGCATCAGATAATTTAGTTTCTGAATATCTGAGATGTTTTGACTATGAACTGTTGCATTGAAATCACCACTAAATGTTAGGAGTGATAATTGTGAAAATTTTGCTGTTGCGTGATTAGTGGGGATCATTTTTCCCTCTAAATTGACACTTCAATTTCTTCGTGACTTATATTAAAATGAAAAAACTAACAAAAGGAATGTTTAAAGTAATGACAGCTTCTCTTGCTGCAGCTATTAAGTTTAAGATACCTGTGGATCGTTGACCATTTTTGAATATTTCCTTCCCTCATCTCTTTTGTGATGAATTTCATGAAATTTTACTTGAATTAGAGATATAAAATACAATGCAAACAGATATGTTTTTTCCTTAATACTTTGACATATTGAAAAAAATCTCATAAGACTAATTCATCCAACAGGGAAAACAGTTCAACTTGTTTATTCTAAAAATTCAGCAGTAGTCACGCTCACGCTTATAGAGTAATAGAAAAAATTAGATTAGAAGACCTCTGGAACATTTTGAATTTGCGAGTAGAAAATGGATAGAGTGAATATTTAATTATATCGAACAATTCATCATATGCTAGCTAAGTTATCGTACCTTCTCTTTTTACGTTTATATGCGAACATTGGCTTACAACAAAGTGCACGATTACAGTGAGTAAGGAGGTCTTACTGTTGGCTGATCTTTAGCTTTGAATAGTGAGTGGGATTGGTTGCTAGGTTAGAAGATCGCTGGAATATTTTGATATTGGTAGTCGATTTGGTTTATAACGAGGACAAAGAACTAACAACCGTTTAACAATCAAAATGGTTGTCAAACTGAAAGATCATAACAGTAGAATAAAGAGCAGTTTTCAACATATCAAGCAATGCGCATATTCTTTGTTAACTAATTGGTATAATCTACATATCTATAATTAGAAAATGTTGGATGAATGATTTCTGACTTAACATATAAATTTAAAACACATTTACATTTGTCTAAGGAATGTTCAAGTATGACAAATCTTTAATCTATACTCTATATTTCTATACTATATAGTTTAATATAAAATTCTTTTGACAACCCTAACTTTATCTTTTTGATTATCAAAATTTCATCTTTAACTAAATCAGTTATGTTTAATTACAATAAAAAAAAAAATCTTTCTTTTTATATTTGAAATAATATTTTACTTTGCTAAAATCCTTAATGCAATAATTTACAGTTCGATTTCATACATGTAGCACCGCCTTGTTCAGCACCAGAAGTTTTACGGAATTCACCTGAAATAACCAATGCTAATAGTTTCTTGGACATCAATCAAAAATCATTACAACACACAAAATTTGCGAATATTTTTGGCATTGGAGATTGTCTTGGATCACCAAATAAGAAGACTGCTGCTGCATTATGTTAAGCTTCTATCATTACATTGAATAACGTGTGGTTCATTGATGCTCATATGAATCTCAAATTTTAGTTTCCTTCTCGGTTCAATTTAAATATTGAATATAATTTGATATTTTGTTGAATAATAGTCGACCAAACTTTAAACGAGTGATTTTCAGATAGTCAAATGAGAACTTTAAGTAAAAATATTCCAAGATTTTTGGAAAAGAAACCATTATTGGAAACGGTAATTCGCTTTTTCTTACTACCAATTTATTTATAATTTTACTATTTTCACATTTTATACCAATAACTTATAACATTTTATGGGCACATATAGCGAAAAAATGTGGCAGTTGTTAATATGATCCTCCAGAAGATTAGTAAACATGAGTGGAAAAGGATGAAACGCACTGTATTGTTCAGTACTCAATTTTATTTAATATTTAAATTCTATTATGCTATTTGTGTGACATTTTCAGTATAATTGCTATTCATCGTGTCCATTGATTGTCAGCTTTCGGCATGTGGTACTTGCGGAATTTACTTTAGAAGGACCGCATGAAACTTTGCCTATAAATCAAGCAAAACCCCGTTATATTTCATTTCTGCTTACAAGGTACATATTACCGTTCATTTATTGGAAACTAGGCGTGAAAGGACACTGGCTAGGGCCAGCTACCATACGCAAAATTCTTCATTTTGGAGTGAGCAAGGAGTAATTTCAATTCCTAATAATATCAAATAATTTCACTAAATGTAACGTCTAAATAGATTTCGTGTACGTCTAAATAGATTTCGTTGGCTCTTTCGAGCCACTGCAGACAAGAAGAATATTCGAAATTATCTCTAAAATTACGTAAGCTTTTATTTCGATTATCTATAAGCACTTGGGATATTTTAGGGTTTTTAATCCATTCAACCAAATATATTGAACATTTAAATCCAAATATATTGAAATTTTTCTTATATAATAAACATATAAGAAAAATATAACAGCTTTATAACAGAATTTGTAGTTGTTTGGATTAAAATTTGACTTTTCCATTACAAGTATTTTTGCTGTGAGTTTTCACTTTACATACTTCTCCGCTACTCTTTCATTAAAGCTCTTTACAAGTATTAATTCATATACAGCATTTATTTGTACTTACTAGATATTATCATAATTATGATAAAGTGTTGCAATAGTAGTAAGACATAACGACTCGCATGATATAGAACTATAAAACTGAAAAGTTTTAAATATAAAAAGTAACGGCAAATCAATAAATGACCACTAAAGTTCCAGTGTTGGAGTTAATTCTAAATAGTACATGATTTCTAAGTTAATGAATCGTTTATTTGAAAAGCTCAATATGAAAGTCCTTTGATTTGTGTAAAATTTGTGTAAAAAAATTCCAGTTGAAAAGTTCTTGAATGTACAATTTATTTAACGAAAAGACCTAAAAACCTTCAAACAGTATGACACATTTAGACTGGATTCAAGAGACTAGGGAAATTGAACTTGTTACATGTTCTATGTATATTTAAAATTCAACTCTTCTAATTCAAATAAAGGAAGAAAAGAAGGAAACTTTACGTGTATATAGGATAGAGGGATAGTAGTCTTCAATCCCTTACAACCTCAACGACAAGAAAAGGAATTGATACTGTTTAATGAAGGTATCTCTTTTATCACCAAGAAATTACACCGGTTAAAATTAAGCAAAATTTAAGCTAGCTTAGTTTGGGATAAAGAAACTCAGATTTATTACCCGTACGCAATTCAGCGTACAAAACTATGGGAATGGAAATTATAACATTATGCGCTAAGATTATTAAAAAATTATGACAACACAACGACACGAAAAATAAGGAAGACTGCTTAATGGAACAGGAAAAGCTTTATATAGGCAATGAAAAGTATTTTTGGAAAAATCTCAATAAACATAATAGAGGAATTCCTTTCTAACGATACAGAATTTAACGAGAGAATACTTAAATATGATCAAAGCAAAACGAACAATGAAAATTTTCTTAATTTCGGATTCAGACACAGATATCATACGTGTAACATTCAACCTTAAGTTGAAGAGAAATTAACTAGAAGAACGATTGTACAGTTCGTTGCTTCACAATATGATCCATGTCGTGGAAGGTTTTGATTGTTTAATTAATAATATTGGGAGAGGTGTTTGATTGCAGGGAGATTGTCTTGGATGTAAATGTAAATGCGTGAGGTAACAGAAATATAATCCAAATTCTTTATTAGCAAAGTAATAGGACAAAACGTTGATAGAAAACAATTGAAAGTGGAATCGTCAGTCCTTGGCAATAAATTACACATATACTAAATCTTTTAACAATGGTGATCTTTATGTAGCAATTATCTTACATTATATGTGTTAAAATGTGGGAGTGGTTTATAATAAGACATTTTTGTACAAAAAATGATAGTAAGTAACTTTAACAATAAGTTTAAAAATGGATATCACAATGAATTGAATGGATATTACGAAAGAGAGTACAATGGTTTGTCCAGACATTATGATAAATGGCTACTATGAGTTGTAATAGACATTACATGATAGATGCTCATAGTATATGAATTGATATAATATCAAAAGTCAAATAAACCATTACGATGAATTGTAAAAGACATCAGTGGATTGCTATATTAAGCATTTTTAACATTTATTTAGTGTTTCGCGATGTTAAAATCCGCGACAATCCAACAGACTTCTTAACTCCCTCGATGATAAACTCAAACTATTTATCTGATATTTGTATTTTGGGGTCAAGTTTTAAGTGAGGAAGAACAACAACGAAATGCATTAATTTGGGAATAACAATACCACAAATAAACATCCATATATTTAAAGATGCATTATCAAATGTTGTGTATTCTACAACTATGTATTCACTCAATCCAAAGAACTAAGATATAAATTTGGATTCATTTTTGATTTATACCAAATCTCAAACTGGTCCAATTAAAAGTGTATTTTACGGGTATATATACTTAATTGTTAAAAAGATCATCTGATAGACGGCTCTTTTACTTTTTTAGAAGCGCAAAGTGCACTCAACTTGCTGCACCTTCCGCTTGCCACTCCTCAGTTCATCTGCCAGAAATTAGCAAAATTGGATAATGAAAGTGGATTCTCCAAGCCATAGATTTAATTATTCTATGCGATAGATGGCCTTACAGTACTAAATGAACTCAATCTGTCCGAGTTTAGAGCTAGAACTATCCCTTGGTGTCAGAAAACCGAAAAAATTTTTATTACACACTGTTTAGAATAATGCTAATGATTCATTACTATAAACTAATTCGTTATTCTTTTGTTATATTCCACTTTTTTGAAACAATGAATCCTTTATGTAAACCTCAAATAGTACAGCCAGCCCATTTCCTACATCCTTAAAAATCTCTAATCGGTTAATAAAACGAAGAATCGGTGGCAGTCTTCTTTTTCTTCAACAGTAGCAGTTATTCCTTCGCTGTTTCAATTATTCGACTGTATATTATATCGATTCACATTTATAAAAAAAATCATATCTGGGTCGATTTCGCTCGCAGATACGAAGCAAAAGGTTCAGTTCAAGTTCTACAAACTTAAAGTAACTCAGGTGAACTTAACTAATCTAAATCCTCTTCTGACCAAAAAGTTCTTCAAATTCACGGCACTTGGGATGGCTGCTGAAAGGCTAATGAAATGAAATCATTTTGACCATGGACACATTCTATTTAACCCTTCTGTTTAGACTATTTGGCGTAACAGATCTTACTAGAGACATACGCCACCTCCACCACAGCTCGAAACCATGGTCCTATGATATCCATATCGTAATTAGTGATAGAAAGCATAGGAAGCATACAAGTCATTTCTCGACGTTCAATAAAACGCCCAATAAATTGATATTTTTTACATTATATCAATGCTTTTACAGTTTGCTGAAAAGAAATGAATAATAAAAGGAAGTAAAAAACCCAATTAAAATCTTTTTCGAATTTCACCAAATCTTTTTTGAGATGTCTTTTATCGCTGATATCGCGAGTGGAAACAAAGAAACAATAATTCCCTTTGTTTAGTCACACACATGTGTGCATGTTCGAGTCCTGAACGCGGTATTTCTTGTGATTTTATAATGAATCTGTGCTACTCCACTATAAAAGCGTACGGTTTTATTATCCATCAAATTCGTTTTTGAAATCCTTGAGTTACATTGGTTGGTGATGATATCCAATATAATTTGTGCACGCTTTTATTATCGGTATAATTAAATTGTCTTGTAATAAAGTTTTAGTTGTCGTAGTTTGAGATACCGAAAACCAAAGATAGAAAGAATACCCTCAGTCTTTATCTCTGTTAAAAAGAAATGGCGACATTTTTACCGCAGATATAAAGTGCGACGCAAACAAATTATTTCTTCCGTTATGAACCACTCTTGAAAAAAACTTCCATAAGACTAATTCATCCAATTAAAAAAAAAAAAAAAAAAAAAAAGAAACGGTTTAATTTGTTCATTCTAAAATCCAGCAGTAGTGACCGGTTGGATATGTTGTTTTTGTCTGCAAAACAACCATTTGATGCCATGAATTGCAGCATTTTGAAGATCTTTTTGCCGATATATGAATAACAGTACCATATTAAAGGAATTCAAGAGTGGTAAATACACGCAAAGCATCACAATAATCGGTGACCTTTTAGAAGCATCCAACGCATAAATGCATTTCACCATTGATGGTAACACAACAAGAACTGTAAGAACATGTAAATACAAGTTGGAAAATAAAAAGTGATAAAGGTACAGCAAATCTTATTGCGAAAAGGATTCATTTGTGATCGATCCTATATTTCAATGATCCTTTTGACATTATAATTTGCTTCCTACCGAATTCCCTGTTTAAAATTTTAACTAAAATTATAATAACTTCAGTTGCATCATTTATTATTATGCAAGAAACATACAAAATGTAAAACAACAAGAAATCAGTGCTGTATGAGTATATCGCTTTTGATTCTTGATAAAATGTGTCAAATCGCGATTGCATGAATTCTTTGAAAGAAACTGAGCTCCAAACCTTCTAAAAAATAGCACAAATGTGACTAAAATTTAATTTCTATTTAAATTTCACTTTGCTGACATAATGCAACACCCAGCAATGTTCATAAAATTCGTTTGAATCAAACTGCACTGAACTGCAAAATCAATTGAAGCCAAATATAGCTATAAAAGCTAAATAGGAGTGTGTCGGTATATAACTATTGGGAGCTGTTATAATTATTATATTCAATTATATGATACTACATAATTGTCAATGCATATTGATAAATTATATATTTTTTAAATTCATACCTTTTTAATAGAACAACAACAATAACCATTATGACAATACTAAATAATGAAGCAATGGAACTCATTAATGTCAGAGTGACATAAAAATAAGAGCTGTAAACACTGTGCATCCTGTAACGATCATTTTCATCAGATTTTAAAGACTAAGAATGTTTATTTAGCAATGTTTATGTTTTATCAATTTTAATGAAATACTTTGATCAAAGCAAAATCATTAAATATGTAACTACACTAACTGATAAAACAGGAAAAAAGCATGAAGTGATAAGTTTGATTATTGTAACTCACATGCAAAAATGCGATATATATCGCTTCGGTTCAATTAAACTTGCGACAACGGTAAAAATCACTGCAATGGCAGTAATTGCATATTGTATGGTAATTAATGCAAAGATTATTCGTTTACTGTGAGTATAGTAATATATTGGGAATGCAACGACACAAAATCTTTCCACACTATTCATTAGTAAACTCCAACCATTTAGAAAAGACATTGATAAAAAAAAGATCGCCACCTGAAATTTCACTAACTGTTAAATTCACTTTGCTGCTAATTACTTACTCTTATTGACACAATGCAGTAATGTTATTATTGATTAAAATACAACAGATTTAATCGGATTCTTTTCTTATTTAGCTTCCAACATTCTGTTACAAATTTATTGCTATAACAAATAACGTTAAGAAAGGCGAATAATTTTGGAAAATTTTCCAAAAAATAAACGAACACTAAGCACGCAGTCATAATGAACAATAAATTGTTCTTGAACAACGGAAATAATCCATCGTTTTGCTCCCATTAATATTGCACTCATTCCGGTTAATCCACTGTTAAAAAATACAGTTGCGAGAATCAGGTAGGGAAGCCTGAAATGCTTAAATTTGTTCAAATGTCATTTATGCATTGATCTATAGCAAAAATTTGAAATAATAATACTAGAAATAATCTTGATGAGATGAAACATTTGACCTGAGCGCTTTACGTAACATCACAAGCAAGAAGATCGGGGTGTTAACCAATACTAGCATTGGGCCAATAATCAAATAACCGTATATATGCAAATTATGGCTCAAATGTGATAGCATTGATGTATTGATATTCGTATCATTCAGTAAATCATCAAATTCTGTTCTGTTTACAGTAGCATTCATTGAAATATGTAAGAGATAAAATAATTAGCAGAGTCAATGCAGAGTCGTTCAGTGTCGTATGACTTTCGGTGATGAGATGCAAAACAAATGATGCTCCGAGAATAATTAAACATTGCTAATGCTAACGAATGTAGCATATTTAACGTATAAAATAATATTCATTAAAATGTGAGCTCAGTTGCCAAAATTTAAATTCCATTGAAGCACGTTGGGGAATAATTGTGCATATTTCGAAAGGGAAAGAAAAATTTTTTAAATACAAAACTTATTAATCTAAATATGATATTCAAAATGTAACTATTAATTTGGATGGCACAATTATTCGTTGCAAATTAATGCAAAACAAGATGATTGTACCTGAAAATATTTATAAAAATTTCGCATATTTATTAATAAGTAATCATTTTCTAATGGCAATTTGTAACAAATTATTCCAATATTATTCGATCAATAATTAAATATTAATGCCATTTAAATTTCTCAAGTGTCGATAGCGAATAACATCATGCAAAAACTTGTCCCTCATTAATCTGTCTCGTCATACTTAGTTTGATTAATTGTTTTATCTAACATAATTTACTATTTAACATTGAATATAACATTATGTTTAACAAAGATATTAAAATTAGTGCACAAAAATTATTGAACAATTAGCATATCCTTAACAAAAAGTTCGAAATTAGTTTAGACGCTATAATTAAATTATTAACAAAAAGTAGTAAAATAGCTTGTCAGTAATGTTAATCTCAATTGATGCTATCGAAAAACCAAATTTCATAATGACTAAATGTTCTCAAGCAAAATATTCATATTAAACATTTCCTGCCTTCCCACTATTAATTTTGCTAGTTGCATTTCAATCCTTTGTTTCTCCACTCGTAAAATTTAGCGTCTCATAAGTCCCTTACAAAGGAATGAAATCAAACCAATTGGACAGGGACTCTCGTGATCCACTCTGGTTAAATACAGATAACTATGCAGAAAGGTTGATTTAATCAATTTCATTTCATTCTTTTTCATAATAAAGAAATTGCTCTATCGTTCTGCCTTTCAAGACAAGCAGTAGTCAGCTTCCAACTTAGTATTACTTCCAATCGTCAACTATCGAAAAGAACGTTTCCCAGACTTGTCGTAATTTCCTCTCTCTCCAACAAGTATCAGAGATCTTCCCAATATTTTAGCTAATAAAAATAGCATTAGGTGATTTTATTATTCTATCTGACAATTTAAGGCATTTTGATTCAGATCAGAATAATCGTCTTTTCAACTTTTTGACAGGCAGTTATATTTTGAATTCTAGTTTACACATTTTTAGCTGACTGACAAGGTCATTTTTAATTATTCACATGAATTTATAAGGCTACCAATAACTGATAAAAAGTCTTTCAAACGCTGTGATAACATCACAATATTTCATAATAAAAGATATTGTACTATATGTTTCGAGATTTAAATCCCGAAGTGATTATCCTAAGCAAATACTAAATAGCAAATACCACACAGTGTCAAGGGTCAATTTGGTGGATAGTAGCAAGAAGCGGAAATTTTTAAAAAGGAAAAAAAAATAAAGTGGAAAACAGATATAATAAATTCCAAAGTGAAAAATTTAATGTACGAGAAAGATTTGTCAAGCATTGGAAAATATATAACTGAGAAAATATGACATTGGAATAAATATAAATAATATAGTGCTAGAGATGAATTTACCAGAAGTAAACTGAATAGAAGAGGAAAAGACAGAAAAGTTGTAGAGAGGAAGACGAAAAGATGTTAAAATATTCGTTTCATTAGTGTTGCATTGTTGCATACTCTAAAAAGGTAAATCATAGTACAATAACACAGGAATTACCGCAACTTAATTGCTAGTCAAAATTAAAGTTTCAGTTATTCTGAAATTTCGTTGTTGCATAAAATTCATACAAGTTTTCCTCATCTAAATTAAGATGTCTTTTTTTTAAAAAAAAATCCAAATTTTACAACTTCCTTTTTTTTTCTTTGCTTGTCAATGCACTAAAGAAGCAAAATCGTAGAAATTTTCACAGTTAATGGCAGTTGAAAAACAATAGCAGATTGAATAATTTCAAATTTCCATGAATAAATTTCTTAGGATATGAAAATCCTTTTGAAATAGGTAAATGGACTAGGTAAATGGTAAATGAAACTTAAAAATTTTACCTTCAAGGCGTTAGGATATGTTTGTCGTACATAACAATTAACCTTTCAATTAAACAAAATTTTCAAAATTTATAACCATTTCAATCATTTTTATTGCATAAAATATAAAATGATTATGCAAAGTTGTGATGTATAAGAAGTTTCAACAATATCGAAGATTTTTTTCTTATTATTTTCAAAACTTTCATTTAGTTAGTAATTATATGATAGCATTGCAATGCGGTATCAATTTCGATGCATGAAATGAAATCGAATTAATCACATTCATTTCTTTTGTAATAATTTTCCACTACTATTGAGTTTCCTCATTATATTCAAATTAATGAGCTTCTAGCAATAATCCATCAACTAATTATAATTTTTCAGTCGATTTGATATGATACTCACTACTAACAAAACTTTACTTATTGTATTCTTAGTAATAGAAATAAACGAAAATTAATAGAATGTTTATAATATTTATGATAGGATGTTTACAATATATATGATGCTTCATGAATTCTTATAATTTATCAAAACTATCTCTGTTGAAAATACAAAAATCACATGGCCTAATCATCAGTCAAAACAGAAAAAGTTTCAATTATTCTGAACAATCCTTCTTACTACAAAATTTTTGCAGTTTTTTCTCTTTAAGTTTTTCTCACTTTAAAAAAAAAAAAAAAAAAAAAAAAAAAAAACATGTCAACAAATTACCAATTTATTTTTTTGTTTCTTTGCTTGCAAGTGCACTAAAAAAAACAAAATTGTTGAAATTCTTCACAACTACTGTCAAACAGTCATCAAATTAAATATTTCAAAATTCCATGAATAAATTCCGTAAGATATGAAAATGAAAATGCTTCTGAAATAATATTTCTTATCAATCGTGATCAAATCCTGCAAAGAATAATCAAATTAACCAATGGTTTCTGTATTTGACGTAATGCTTGTTTATAGCTAAGCAATTACTTTGCCATATGACATTTGGAGAAAAATAAATTTATTAGTACTTAATCAGCATTGAAATGGCTTTTGATCAAATAGCACTGGCATAATTTGTTACAAATTACCACTTGGAAATAATTACCTTTTAATATGGATACATGAGATTTTCACAAACATTTCCAAGCAAATTTGTTTTGAATTAATTTGCAACTGATAGGCTGTGTCATTCAGACTAATGGCTGTATTTGGAATGTCACATTTAGACTAATAATTTTTTTTTTTTTGAACTTTTGCGTTTGCTTTCGAAATATGCACAGTTACTTTCAATATTCTTCAATGAAATTTAAATTGTGATAACCAAACTTTTCACACTTTATTGTATGTTATTTGTACATCACAAAGATTTCACATATTAAAGGAATTTGCTTTAATTTCATTTATCAGGGAAATATCTGCTAGCATTAGCACTATTTACTTATTATTTGGAATATCATTTGTTTTGCATCTCATCACCGAAAATCATACGACACTGAACGACTCTGCATTGACTCTGCTAATTATTTTATCTCTTACATATTTCAATGAATGCTACTGTAAACAGAACAGAATTTGATGACTTGAAAGTTGCAAGCAGTTCCATACATCTTTATGCTTATTTGATTATTGGCCCAATGCTAGTATTGGTTAACACCCCGATCTTCTTGCTTGTGATGTTACGTAAAGCGCTCAGGTCAAATGTTTCATCTCATCAAGATTATTTCTAGTATTATTATTTCAAATTTTTGCTATAGATCAATGCATAAATGACATTTGAACAAATTTAAGCATTTCAGGCTTCCCTACCTGATTCTCGCAACTGTATTTTTTAACAGTGGATTAACCGGAATGAGTGCAATATTAATGGGAGCAAAACGATGGATTATTTCCGTTGTTGAAGAACAATTTATTGTTCATTATGACTGCGTGCTTAGTGTTCGTTTATTTTTTGGAAAATTTTCCAAAATTATTCGCCTTTCTTAACGTTATTTGTTATAGCAATAAATTTGTAACAGAATGTTGGAAGCTAAATAAGAAAAGAATCCGATTAAATCTGTTGTATTTTAATCAATAATAACATTACTGCATTGTGTCAATAAGAGTAAGTAATTAGCAGCAAAGTGAATTTAACAGTTAGTGAAATTTCAGGTGGCGATCTTTTTTTTATCAATGTCTTTTCTAAATGGTTGGAGTTTACTAATGAATAGTGTGGAAAGATTTTGTGTCGTTGCATTCCCAATATATTACTATACTCACAGTAAACGAATAATCTTTGCATTAATTACCATACAATATGCAATTACTGCCATTGCAGTGATTTTTACCGTTGTCGCAAGTTTAATTGAACCGAAGCGATATATATCGCATTTTTGCATGTGAGTTACAATAATCAAACTTATCACTTCATGCTTTTTTCCTGTTTTATCAGTTAGTGTAGTTACATATTTAATGATTTTGCTTTGATCAAAGTATTTCATTAAAATTGATAAAACATAAACATTGCTAAATAAACATTCTTAGTCTTTAAAATCTGATGAAAATGGTCGTTTCAGGGTGCCTAGTGTTTACAGCTCTTATTTTTATGTCACTCTGACATTAATGAGTTCCATTGCTTCATTATTTAGTATTATTGTAATGGTTATTGTTGTTGTTCTATTAAAAAGGTATAAATTAAAAGAAAGTTACAGTTTCCAATATGCAAGTTATATCCTAATTTATATTATGCATTAACATTCACATAATATAACTGAATATAATAATTGTAATAACTCACAATAGTTATGTCACGATAACTTCTGTTTTGTTCTGTTCTTAAGCTATATTTGTACTGACTGTTGTAGTACGTCAACAAAGTCAAATTCAAATAGAAATTAAATTTTAATCTCATTTATGCTATTTTGCAGAAGGTTTAAAGCTCAGTTTCTTTCAAAGAATTCATGCAATCGCGATTTGACACATTTTATCAAGAATCAAAAGCGATATACTCATACAGCACTGATTTCTTGTTGTTTTACATTTTGTATGTTTCTTGCATAATAATAAATGATGCAACTGAAGTTATTATAATTTTAGTTAAAATTTTAAACAGGGAATTCGGTAGGAAGCAAATTATAATGTCAAAAGGATCATTGAAATATAGGATCGATCACAAATGAATCCTTTTCGCAATAAGATTTGCTGTACCTTTATCACTTTTTATTTTCCAACTTGTATTTACATGTTCTTACAGTTCTTGTTGTGTTACCATCAATGGTGAAATGCGTTTACGTGTTGGATGCTTCTAAAAGGTCACCGATTATTGTGATGCTTTGCGTGTATTTACCACTCTTGAATTCCTTTAATATGGTACTGTTATTCATATATCGGCAAAAAGATCTTCAAAATGCTGCAATTCATGGCATCAAATGGTTGTTTTGCAGACAAAAACAACATATCCAACCTACTGCTGGATTTTTAGAATAAACAAATTGAACTGTTTTCCCTGTTGGATGAATTAGTCTTATGAGATTTTTTTCAATATGTCAAAGTATTAAGGAAAAAACATATCTGTTTGCATTGTATTTTATATCTCTAGTTCAAGTAAAATTTCATGAAATTCATCACAAAAAAGAGATGAGGGAAGGAAATATTCAAAAATGGTCAACGATCCACAGGTATCTTAAACTTAATAGCTGCAGCAAGAGAAGCTGTCATTACTTTAAACATTCCTTTTGCTAGTTTTTTCTTTTTAATACTTCAAGTCATACGTCATGAAGAAACTGAAGTGTCAATTTAGTAAAAATTTTGGATTCAGCTACATCATCGAAGATGAGTAAATCAATTTTACTTTCATCCAAAGAAATAGATATAGTCAATCCATACCACTCAAAAATCCAATAACGAATTTTCTGTGTCACGGATCTCAATATCACGAAACTTCAAATATTACTGAAGAGATGTCCGATGAACCAACCCTTCGCAAACAATGCTTATACGCTGAACTCTTTGTTCTAGTCGTGTTCAGCCTTTATACATTGTTTTCGATAATGTTTACACACCTCTTTTGTTCCCATTGTTATGTTTTCACTGGTGATCCCTTATATTGCTTTCAATAATGTTTGGAGCTTAAATTCATTGTCTCTAATCTGGTGTTTCTACCATAAATCCTTCACATATTATTTCCTACTTGATATTTAATCTTCAAATTACTTCCCTCTTTCTTTGCTTACATTATGACTGTGACTATCTTGAAACCCAACAGAATTGATTCATAATCACCATTCCTACTTTAACAATATACATGTAACGGTAAAACAGTTGACAATAACCAAAAAGGATCTCTCGACCTGTTTTTCAATTCTTGCAAATTTTTTATAATATTGCTCCTGTTAATAAAGGGAATATATTTCTGTGCTACATCCAACTGTCTACATCCAATAAATCTCCCCGGGATCAGCAAGTCTCTCCCAAAATCATAGAATTTTGCAACCACAAAAGGCTTTGGCATTATTTGACATTGGATCACATTCATTCTTTATATTGGGAGAATTGGCAAACCGATTGAGATTAGACAGAACCAGGGGAGAAAATTTAACGAAGTCATGTTGGGTCACAAAATTAGAAATTGAAAAACCTTGGACTATGGTTCATTACCTGACAGAAAAACTATAAGTAATTAACTCAAACTGCCAAGATTTGCCACAAATAATAGCTCAAGAAAAGCTTGAAGTGAAAGGAAGATGTTGGTAAAGGCCCGACATACTCATTAGAACAGATACTACGACTTTTACAAGTACTGGATTAGTACTTCGACTTTATGTCTTAAAATGAATTCTCTGTAGTCCATATAAAGATTAGTCTTATAATGACCAGAAGAGATCTCATAATTATGACGAAGATAAATTCGGGAAGAAATCAAATCGATGAATGTAAGCAGTGTCTCACAATTCCAGAAGTAGGAATTAGAACTCATAAGCATACGAGCAAACGTTAAGGCATTTCAAAGGAACAAAAACAAAATCGAAGAGATGTCTAAATGATAATTATAATAATTATGGTTTTCGGAAAATTAAAAACATTAATTAAACTACTTCATGCTGACGAAGTACTTCTCAACCCCTACAGTAAAATAATTCAAGAACAAATGAATTCAATATAATTGAAGAAGTAACTCCAGAAATGAATCAGGTTAGCTTTATATCATTTGCCGCATCACGAGTATTAGACTAAATAAATCGACTTAATCTATAAAAAAAAAATAAAGTTAGGAATCTTTTTCAATGTCTCCTGACTGTGAACGATGTTCTGTATTGTGGCCCGATCGCACTTTCAGATTAATCAAGATTTTGATTTGACTTAGAACGATGGAGGATATAGTAATATCGATGTTGAAAAGGCTTTTTTGCAATTGAAATTTCCATCAGAATGCGGCTACACATGTTTTCTTTGGTTGAAGAACATAGACGGACCATCGAAGACAAGATAATATATTATTGTTTCCAAAGAATTCCATTTTGGGTGATATCATCCACCTTGTTACTGACAACCACCCTGATCTATCATTTAGAAATTCATGGGAGCAAAACTATCTCAAAGATTCAAAAAAACCTTTATTTGACAATGTTATGTTACTAGGTAAAGGAATTCAGGAAGCACACAAACTTTCTAAGGAAACCAAATGTATCCTCAGAAAGACCTCAATGAACATCAGAGAATTTCTTTCAAATGACAATGATTTTAATAAAATTATTCCTGAATACGACCGAGCAGAAGTATGCCAGTTGAAGAAAATTCTTAGAGTTAATTGGAATCTCAGAGGGATATCTTCAAATAACCTAAAACTCTGGAACGATAGAGACTTAACAAAAAGAATAATTTAAAATTTTCAATACGATCCAATAAGAGTTACTTTAGAGTAAACGCAATTTCATATCTTCATGGATGCATCAAGCATGGCATATTCTTCAGTCATATTACTCGTTGCCAAAATATTTAAGGGATCAAAATTTTCCTGATATTTGCTAAATCTCGAATCTCATCAATTAAAGATATCCCTATACCCCCGATTGGATTTATTAGAGTAAGAGTAACCCAATTTATATTGAATTAGTTAGAACTTGAAAATACATTAATGACGTTATGATCCGATTTTAAATGTACATTGCAATGGATCCACAACCGTTCCCGACTACTATCAGAATTCGTGCAAAATCGTGTAGATGAAATAAGAAAAGCAAAATTCTTGTTTCGTTATATTCCAAGTAAGCATAATTCGACCGATGTTGTAACAAAAGGACTTTCTCCACCCAAACTTAAGAATTATTAAATATGGTGGAAAGGACTATCATGGTTGGAAAAGGAAGAGAACAACTGACAATAATGAGAACATAACTTCGATGGAAATTATGAACATGAAGAAGGAGGCGAAATTTTTGTCGCAAAGGTCACTAAGAAAATTATTATCAAGAGAAATTCTAAACTTGTAGGTGCTAATCATTTTAATAAGTGGTCAAGATTAGTAAGCACAATAGCATGAGTTCTAAGTTCATAAAATTAACTAAGGAGAAAAATTCCATGATTAAAGGGTCAACTTATAACGGATGATTACAAATTAGCTAAAAAGTTATTGATTAGACAAGCGCAATCGAAGAATAAATAAGTGAATGAAATCTATACTACAGCAAGAAAAATTGCTACTGGAAATCCAGAAATCGATTAGAAAAAAAAAAAAACTGAATATGTAATAGCTACATATAATAAAGAAATTTTCTTCCTTAAATCTTAAGTAATTTTTGCATATAAAGAATTTCAAATCATTATTATCATATTGTTCAAGATTATCTGTCAAGATCACTGAGTATTATGAATTACTGTCACCGCCGTTATATTATCAATATAAAATCACTGTTGTCGCATATTGCTATCATCACTCTTGTCATATCAATATCAGTTACTGTTATCATTCTATCACGCCAGTGCATTAAGTCATTGTTATCATTACTATCATTTCCCCACATCAATACGTTGAACTATTGTTATCATTGTTATCACATCAATCCCATCAATATATTAAATCACTGTTATTATGTCCATCATACTAACATATCAGTCGTATCAACCATATCAGTACATCGTACCATTGTTATCATAACAGCATAACAGTATGTTAACATTACTGTCTGATTGATTGAAGAATGAAATTCTATTGTATATCCTTAGTTTAAACAATTGGGATTAATGGTTTGCATTTCGGACTATTCCTTTTCACAGTTTGTATAACACTTTTTGAATTCGATTCATTTCTCTCTTTTCATTTGCGAGTTGGAAGTGTGCTGCTAGTTTAATGTCGTTTTTTTTTTGAAAAAAATAAAAAAAAAAAAATGAATTTTTTTTGTTTTTGCTGACTTTGAGGCAATTCTGCAAAAATATTTCAGAACAGCTCGTTGGCAGCCATGTCAAGTCGTTTCGGCTTTCACACAAATCATTTTGGAATATCGGAAGAAGAACTGTAAGTTTCCGGATAAGAGTTGTTTGTGTATTTGTCGTTTTTGTAGTGTGTTGCGATGCTATAAACTTGGTGAATGAATATACATTGCATATACAGGATAATATAATTACTATCCTGTATATACACTGATATATACCTTGGTACTTGAATTATGAACTGAGCTGTACTTTGGCACATTAAACTTGAATTGTACTTTTAAAATGTAGTATTCTATATTCGTAGTGATCTGAGAGATGAGCACTGACTTTAGTTGCTATTAGTAATATATTCAATGATAGAAATTTAGCAAAAAGATTGGTAGAGAAATTTGTATTTTTATTAATTTTTGCTAACATTACTTATAACTATTAGTATTAGATGAAAGATCGTACGAGGAAGCACGAAACGCTCGTCATCACCATAATCTTTATCATTTTTACTCAGTGATTATGATGAAAACGATCCTTCCTGGTTCGATACATCACCAGGTGCAAATATCTTCTATGGTAGATATGAGTCGGCGAAGCCATTTGTCAAAAAACTACATCATCAGCAACGAGTATTTCTGGAAGAAAAGTTAGAAGAACGGAGAGAATTACGTCAAGCAATACGTGAAAGATTTTTGCATGATTTTGATGAAAAGCTAAAACAACATATGGCGAAGTTTCAGCCAAAGGTATATTTTCGACTTTAATAACGTTGTTAAGGAATAGATATTTGTGCATTTTTTCCGATGTCTCTCTGCTCAGAAAAATTGAACAATAGAAGGTATTTTCCCATAGGGAAGTGCATAAGGTGCATAACTCTTCTTGTAATTTCTCGTCAGGGAAATAAATTGCAAGATAAATTTTCTCACCTGACAGTAACGACGTTACAGTTAACTGTTTTGATCAGGGCTGCAAAAAGAATCAAAATTTCAGTCATCATAATTCATAATTTTCCTGTTATTCATGAAATTTATTGACATTATATAGAGTATCAGTAAGGCATGTCGATGCTTGACGAACTGTAATTCATGGAATCAGTAAGGCAAAAATTTCCTTAGAAGCAACTAACGGGTTTCATTTTAGCCTCGGGAACGACTAATATTGGATTTATTTCTTTCACAACAGAAGAAAGAACTAGAAGAATCATTCAGGGAAAGACTAAAGTAAATCTTCAGAAACTTTTGTTTTCTTAATCCACCCAGTTAGGTAATAAAAACTGCTGTGAATACAGCAGTGTAAATTAGTTAACTTCAAGACAAATAAATGTTAATTTCAGAATATAGGATGAGTAATTTAAAATTAGATTAAATATATTTATGCCATGAGCTGTTTCATATTTCCAGGGAACTTTAACATTTCTTATTCATTGTTTATTGTTTTGCTTATTTTAGCGCAAATCATGATCCTGAATCAAAATCCAATCTTGGTGCATTAAAAGATTCCAGTACTTTCATATCACATCATTCAGTGTCTAAACCTGCAGTACCAGTCGAATCGACTTCTATCAAGTCAAAATCTCGGCTACCAACAGAAGCTTCTACCTTGGTCTATTCCTCAAAATCAACTGCTGTTATCGATATAGGAACATCATACATGTCATCAACATCATCTTCAGTGACTGTTGCTAATCTAGCACCAACTTTCAATGCAATTCCTGCAGTTGTTAATCGAATAAATCCAAAGACCACTTCATCATTTCCTGCATACGTTACTTCGGCATGTGCAACACCGAAAATTCAACAGCAGTCTGATAATTCTGCTGCATTTGTTTTTTGTCCACAAAAAACAAGCACACCTATCTTCTCATCCGAAACATTGAAAAATGGCCATGCAACGCTTACGAGGACGGATTCAATCTCTTCATGCAGATCTTCAGCTTCAAGGAGTACTTCTTGGCCCTTGCAACAGATTGTAGAGGAACAGCGTGAGTTTTTTTTCGAAGCTTCAAGTTTTTTTAAATTACTGTCATAAAGTATTTTGCATGAAATCACGACTTTGTTTTAATTTTTCTATAAGATTGCTTCATAGAAACCTTGGAATTTTGGAATGACTTGATCCTGTTCTGTTCAGCTCAGTCAAGCGAAGCAAGTACTATTGTTGCGGCTAAACAAAATGAATCGATAACGCAATCTTTGTCAAAGGTAAAATCTCTAGCTGTAAGCAGCGGAACTTCTGATGATTCAAATACTAAAAGTCCGAATCACTCGCATCAAATTTACGGATATGAGATAGCTTTCGCAAGGGCTTTCATGGCAAATCTAGCTGATATACCAGATTCTGTCAAAGTAAGTTGTTTTTTTGGTTAAAGATTTTAAAGACACTGTATGCAGTTACGACATCTCTCTTTATTCATAGTCTTCAACGGATATTAGATATTAAACAAGTGAATCACCTTTAAAATATAATTTTAGTGTATTATTCGATCATATGTGGACAAGGAAAATTAATTTTTATAAGTTTCCAAAGTTGAGTACATTGACTATTGCTGTGAAGTTGTCTGAAATCTGAGTTGAATATTGCAAACATTATCAAAGTGATGTTCACCGCTGGCTATCGCTTCACTATGATAATTCGTGGAATTGCTATATAATAGACCTTTTCGGTACTGAGATATGGAAATTTATCAAGAAAAAACACACATAAATTAAAATAATGCATATTATACATACATATAAATTAGAATAAAGGATATATATAAAGATATGAATATATATAGTGTATTTGGTACTGCAAATATCTGACACTTTTATATAAGACTTTTTATAGAATGAATTGAAATGTACGATAAAGGAAAAGATTTCGATATCAACAAAGAAATTTGCAAAACGAAATGACATTGCTCAAATTGTTCGTTTCTTTAATAATTTGCTTAATGGTTTAACAGTTTATGGTTTTAATGGCAAAATGATCAACTTAAAAGATGACGAGTTGGCTCGTGATTGGGCTATGGTTCATATCATTGACACATATCTGGTAATTCAGTGGTTTATTCCTATTTTCATTCTTTTTTTTTGTTAAATTTTCAACCAATATTAATCGATCTTGAAAAGCATATCTGAATCCACTTTCCTTGCAGTTTTTCAAAAATTGCATTTTAAATAATCTCTTTTTAATTAAACACCTCTGACCTTGTTTCGGTTAGAAAAGAGACTTGATTTTGACTGCTAAATTAGCATTAAATTTATAAAGAATTTTGAAATAATTGGATTGTGATAGTTTTTATTTACTGGGTACTATTCGGAAAGTTATAAATTTATTTCTTTGTTAGTCTTAACCACTTCTGTTTCCGTTTCATACCTCTCTTACATTGTATTTCCAGGATCTTATTCCACAGGATATAAGTCTGTTGAAAGTAGTGGCTGCTGTTCTGTCATCGCTAACTTTATCATCAATTGCTTTCTCGAAATTACTCTATGGCAAATTGTTTATTGCATCGCCGCTTTTGGCAGTCAATCATAATGAATGGTTATCATTCTGCACTTTTCTTGTGAATCTGCAATTGCTTGAAAAGTCATAATAAGTATTTGTGTAAATAGAATAGGCTAGATGTACCATATTACAAGTTGATATAAAATAAACTGCACATTATTGTCAATATATTTTGTATATTAGATGTATGTTCTTCATGGCGGTGTATATTGAAGTATATATTGAATAAGTTAAACTAATTCCTACTGTCACTTTCTATTGTTACCTTGCATCTTCTTAATCATCTTTTCTATTATGTTAACAGTCCTTATTTTTCAGCTTAAAGTGCATTCTGGATCTAAAAAAGCGTTCCGAAAGATTTGCTGAAACGATAGTAGCATGGCGTTGTCGTGAAATTGCTATTATAAATTTATTTATTGCTTTGAAGATGTCCAATGTAAGTGTTGATCTCCAAGCAACACCAGAAAGTAATGGCTTAGGATTAATGTGGAAAATGATCGCTATAACAATTGCGGATAGTTCTGCCTTCGGTGCTATACTAGTAACAGAGATTTTAAAGGTGTTATTTAATTCTATTTTATTAATTATACATTCCTAATTTTCAAGAGAAATTGAATTTCTCGTAAATTATAATTTGTAGCCTACAATTATTATTTAGTGAGAATATTGCTTCTTATTTTATCCATTAAAAAACTGAAAAATGAATAAAAGAAATTTGTTAAATCTCTTTGAAAATAAGAAGCATTGTACTGAAATGTGAAAGAAGTTTTTGTTCTCAAAATGCGTATTCAATCTAATTAAATTCAGTATTAGGCGAATGAATTTTAAAAACTTTTGAAGTGTAGTTTGTAGCTCCTCCCGTCTTGATTTAACAATTAAAATTTTTAGCAGCATTGGAATGTGATGCATAAAGTCTATGGTAGACAAATGGAGAAGCTAATAATTCTAATTGACAAGTCAGTTCTACCGCAGTGGAGAGTTTCAATCCAAAAAATAGCACCGGACAGTTCGGAAATGAATAAAGCTGTCCAAAATGTTACGGAAAACTATTTGACAGCATTAAAATTTACTATTGATGATTGTTTGTCATCATTTCGTTCATAAGCATGTACTTACTAAATGTAAGGGATAATAAGTTATTCTTAAATATTATTGCATTATTATATATATATTTTGTCCATCCATTATATTTTTCCTTTTTATTTTATTACATTTTGAAATGCTTTAAATATTTTGGTGATATGCTTTTATATATCAAGTATTTTATGGGAATTTCTGGGAAGAATTTCGTTCAAAAGTCCTTGTTTCATACATTTGTCGGGAAAGTTGCCCAATTTTGGACGAATTAAATTTTATCTTTCCAATTACTTTGAGAAAGAGAAAAAATATGTGTAATTGCTATATGGTCTACAATAAAAATATAAGTTGTGTATATTATTGATTTTGTGTTTATTTTGCCTTGAAATGTTATAGCTTTGGAAAATAATGGAAGAAATAAATTCATTTCTTTATTATTAATGAAGATTTCGGTGGCAAAACTTAATATCTCTTCTTGAACTGATAACAGGTCGGTAATATCTTGATTTCTGCTTTGATGTTATTGTTATGGAAATATATATCTCACATGATATGGTCAAGTAAGATATATATATGGTCAAGTAAGATATATTATCTTACTTGATATGGTCAAGTAAGATATACATTAAAATGGCACAATTCAACATAAGTCACTGAAATTGTTTAATCATATTTCAAATCTTTTCATCAAAATGATTAGTTACTGGAATTAAGGATAAGTGAAGAAGAGAAAAAAGATACTGCAATTCATTTCTTCATCAAAACAAAATGTTTTTCTTTTGAGATAGCATTCAAATTCATTATATGATAAATCTCATCAAATCGTACTGATGGCAATGATAAAGTATAAATATCACAATTAATCTACATGGCTTTCGATGTGCTCTTTTTCCTGATGTCTTTAGTATTACCTATATGATTTGAGTTTAGGTTCTACAATTTTTTTTTTAAAATTTATCAATTTATCAGTAATTGATTCATGCAAACTATGCAATGTAAATCTTATGACAATTCTTTCTGCATTTTTTTAAATTAATTTTTTTTTTTCTTTTCTGCTTAATCATTATTAGCATAGCGTACCCGTTTCATTGTATCATCCAAACCGACCAACATTTTGATTTCCTGAGTGGTATAGATATTCTCATCTGTTGCATTCGGATATTTTTCTCTTAAAAAGAGTAGGAGATGCATAATTTTAATTAGAAGATTGAAATGAAAATTTAGCAAGACATAAAATGTATTTGAAATTTTTTTCTCAAAGAAAAGATGTCACAAGATAGTAACTGTCATCAATTATTTTTATTTAAAATAACCATTATTATTATTATTGTTTGAAACTAAATAATTTTGTTCGTCTTCTTTTTTTCTTTGTAATTTTATTAAAATTTCAATTCACAATTTTCAAAGAGTAGACTGTAGAATTTTTAGTGTTTGAAAGTTAAGTGATTTTTTGAAATTTACTCTTTAAGAAGTTTGAAAAGACATTTATCTTTCTTTGTTTTTGTTTTTTTCCTAAAGCTAATTAAATCAAAATTTAACAATGTTTAACCTTAGATTATGTTGAACTGATTTCACGTACGCTAATGGTTGCTTATAACGATTAATTTTATTCATTGATCCTGCTGCTATCTTCTCATCTTCATGCATTTTCTTTTCACGTAAGAATCTGCAATAACTACTATATTTCAATATGAAGTAAGTAAATATTAATCATCCAATTAAATAAAATCAAGACGAATAATAATCAGATTATCGGAAAATAAAGTATAACAGTAAGTTGAAGTGGGTAAATGTGTAAGTTGAAACTAAAAGTAAATTACAGCATAAAAAGAGAGAGAGAGTTAGCACCGTCAAAAAGTGATAATTAAGCAAAATTATTGTTTTCTGACTGACATTAAAATTTTAGCAAATGATTATCGAACAGTAATTTTAATTCAATTAGATTGCTATGATAAGAAAATAGAACCGGAAAAAAAGTTTAATTTGGGAAGAAAATGTATGAAAATGTATCAAAATCAAAATCACAGCATGCTGCGATAGAAGATAGTACACTAGAAGTGGTACCAATCATTGATTATTAGCCTGATTGATAATAAATGATTACAATAACTAGAAAATTGTCAGTTCAAAGTTTAAATGATAAAGATGTTAAGGTATTCTCAGCATTTTTTTAGTAAAAACATAAAAAATTGGTTAAAGTAAATTTACTGCATTACTATAGTAGCAGATATTAGTTCTTCATTCTTAACTATTTCCGGAATAAAATCAAAAATAAGAAGTAGTATGATCAAACACTTTCAAGAGCAAGTTATCAATACTTCGGAGAAAAACAACTCTTGTAGAAATAAATTCACCAATACCTCCAAGACAATATGACTTTTTTTTTTTCTTTATAAAAAACATTTATTTTTTTTTTCAAAATTTATAAAATCTTTGTAGCAATTGAAATTAGAAAAAAAGCTCACTTTGAACGATGATAGCAAAGAATCATAGCGAATACAATTAGCACAGACAAAAGTAAAAACGTGAAAATGGCTAAGAGGAGGGCTGCTTCACGAAGACGTGCGTATGGTACTGTGTCCGATAATTTTGTCACATCAGTTGTATACTTGAAAGAAATTTTATTAAAATTAATGGAAATAATGATAAGAAATGAAATTAGTTCGATTTTTTTTCTTATTTTTCTCTTTTTTTTTTAAAAAAAAAAAGAATTTCCAAAAAACATTTTAAAAAATTTTTTCCCTATGAACAGAGTCAGAAAATTTAAAGCTTACTTTTGAAAGCGCACTTAATTTTGGTACTACACCTTTTGGATTTAGCGCATTTTTATCGATAATTGAAATGGCTTGATCAGCTAAAAGGAGCGCATCATTAGTTCGATTGATGAATAGAAATTGCGCTCGTACTGCTTCTCGTAATAAACGTCCGTCAGAACTTATATATTTTACATTAAATAATAACACATCACATTCACATAATTCACCAATAATCCTAAATTTATTATATTAAATTAAAATTCGTGCCATTTTTTCATCGGATTAAATTAAAATTTGTATCGTTCAAAATAAAGTTATTAATTTATAAATTAAAAATATTAAACTAACTCAGTCAAATTTTTTAGTCCATTAACATTTAAATTTTTAGCATTTTGATCGATATCCATTTGTATGATATGTGACACATCATATACCCATACCGAAACAAAAGCAATACTGTATAGTCATATTACATTTTAAACGATAAATTCCATCTTTAAACAGCATTAAAAAACTAAACTGATTGATTTAATTAATGAAATTATTCAAGTATGTTTTAATTCAATAGTACCTCCTAAAAAATAATTGTTACAAAGTAATTATTAAACTGTATGAATATTCCGTCTTCTCTCTCCTCACTAGGAATATAATATTTATACTCGATTACTAATTTTATGGAAAAAATTTTTGATCATAAGCGTAAAACTTAAAAAATATCACTCATTTATACCGGGAATTCACTCATATTCATATTTACCATTTCTATAAATGTGCGAATGTAAATTGAAAAAAGTCAAAAAGAAATTATTAAAATATACTTTCAATTTGGTGGTAGCAACATGAGAAATTATATGAGAAAGATCGGTGCTAGCAATACGTGATTCAAATATACCACCAGCTGAATCGTATGGCGATTGCATCAGTCGTATAATTCCGGATTTCTCATCCACATTAACGAAACCATTTGCTTGTCTAACTCGATCAGCATATCGATAAATTGTTTCATCGATCCGGTAGCGTACCGAATCAGAATCTGAATGAATAGTAGAAAATTTGATACATACAAAATTATTTCAGAACATGAATGATTCATATCATAAATACGTAGTCAAAAAAATTTCCCCCTTATACGGAAAAAGTTACAACATAAAATTGGAGCATAAAATTTTACAATATTGAAAAATGAAAATTAAACTTTGCTTAAAAGGGTCATGATATGAAATATCAAGTAGTCGTCATATGAAATAATCTTTTAGCGATGTGACATTTTTGAATAACAATATAGCATAGACTAATTAACGTTCTGCAGAAGGATATTTCAGAAATTAATTATTATTGTTATTATTACCATCAATGTTGATCATTATTATTGATTATGATTATTAATTATTATTTATCATTGTTGTTATTTACTTATTATTATTATTAGTTATTAATCAATGCACAAAAATAAATAAAAAAGAACATAAATTGAGAAATGAAAGTTACTTGACAGACAGTTATACTATCACAAATATTAGATGATAATGATATAAATGATACTCGGTGAAGAAGCATTGATCAAATCTGGATCCATTGCTAAAACTTTAACAATTTCCATCCCTGCTATTGCATCACGTGGAATTGCTTTTGTATATAATTTGCTTTCAAATACTGGTCCATTGTCGTTTCTAAAACAAAAAATTAATTAGTGCTTTAAATTCATCCTGTAAATATTTTCAGAATTCGTTTTATTTCTTCTTTTCAAAATAATAATTCCATTTGCTTTTCATCGTTCTCAACGTCTGTCTTCTCCTTCTTCACAAAATGAATTCAATTTTCGCATTTGACTTTTTTTTTTAATAGATTGAATATTTGAAATCAGTTAAAAACTTACACATCTAATATCATAATTCGAACAGTAGCAAACGCAGCATCATTCTCGTTATCTGGTAATCCCTCCGAATTAGTTACCATTATGTGAAGCCTAAAATTAAAAGAGCTCTCAAAGATAATGTCAAGCTTGAAACTAAGACAGAAAACATATACAATATCATTAATTCATCCTGAAAAAAAAATTTCCTAAAATTAGTATCAAAAACACACTGATTTAATGAACGGATTATACTTACTCATAGAAATCTTGTTCTTCTCGATCTAATTCATTTGCTAATTTCAAAATACCATCCATATGGCCAATTGTAAACTTTTTATTGTCATCTTTCATGTGAAAATAAACCTTATCATTGATATCTCGATCAAATGCTCGAATTTTGGTTATTAAAAGGCCTA